GTCAAAAGCCAAACTTGTGATTTCTGCATGCAAAAAAATGCCTGTTACGATCACAACCTCCTCTTGCAAAACACAGTGTTCCTTAGCAGCAAAGTAAGAATTTCATTTTAGAAAATGTGGTAAACACGATGTCAGTCCGTAAGTACTACCCAATGCTGTATTGCATGTTGTCAGGTCGGGGCCAATTTATAGAAACACTAATGGGGCTATCAAGGTAAGTGAGATATTTAAGGGGTGGTTGTTGCCAGTTCAAGGCCCCCATTAGTTTCCATGAGCAAGTGGAGGCTCTGGTCTCCTGAGCCCTAGTCTGACACTCTATCCGCCACACTGGATAGAATGCCCAGTGCAGAAATGGGCAGTACCTCTAGGTACTGGCAGCAGGGGGCAGGTTGACTTGTCTTGCTACTTCTGCATGAGCCCCTGCCTTGACTATGGGCCACCCTTGCCTCTCAGAATAATCTTGGACTGTAACTCCCATTAGCCCTAACCAACACAGCCAATTGTGAAAGATGATGTTAAAGTCTAATAATATTTGGAAGGCCAGATGTTGCCCAACCTGGATTGGTGCATGGAAGGCTATGTGTTGACTTAGAGATCAAACTTGATTAAACTGATGCCCTCTGCATTTCCACCTAAAGCTCCCCATTACCCCAACCTGCTGGCCATGACAATTAAGGCTTCTGGGAGTTTTAGGGAAAACCACGTGGAGACTGCTGTAGATGGTGAAAGGTCTGAATAGCACACATTCCATAGGAAGCTATCTTGTCCCAGGTCGGGCAGATTCTTTTCTTACTAAAACCAACAGGAAATCTAAAATAGAGGTTTTTCTCATTACCTAATTGCTGGGAATATATCCAGGACTTTCTCTATACAAGCCATGGCCTAAAATCAGACTTCTAGACCCAACTGAAACAGACTCTGTGAATCAATGAACATTACATATGCATTGACTAACCATTCAAGAACTGATTCAGTAGATATGGTCTAGTTGGGGATCAGCTGTTGGATTTTTAGCCCATGTACTCTACAACCAAGTGAACGTCCTTGCCCATAATGAGTTGTTGGCTATGCTGACTTAACAATTCATCCTAACGTTTTAGACAGAGGAATGGTACATTGGCAGTTTTAGAATAAAAATTATCTAAAGAAGGTAATAATCACTTTATCTTTTGACAGGCATATACAGTAAATACCCCACTCAGTCCTGCACAAGCCTTCTCATGATTTGCCCAAGCACATTCACTGGGAGTTAACTCCCAAGCTATATATGCTTAGGATAACAGCCTCAAATTCTGCAAAAAAACATATATTTGCACAATTAGTTTTTTAAAAGTTTGAAATTAGGTTAGAGGGCTCTCAACGGATGTAACAGCCTCAAATTCTGCAAAAAAACATATATTTGCACAATTAGTTTTTTAAAAGTGTTTTAAAACTAGGTTAGAGGGTTCTCAACAGATCTGAAAGGAATGTTTAGGCAGTCATTCACTCCTAAATAAAGTTAGAAAAGTTACTTTTTTGGGACTGAACCTCCGATTAACACACTGGATGTTGGATTCTGGATGTTGTTAGAAAAAGTAATTTTCCAAAGTCAGTCAGGAACAAATGGAAGCCTGAATCTTCCTTACATCCCCATAAAGAGAACTTCTAACCTAATCCAAAGCTTTTTTTTTTTTTTAAAGAAATGGGTTATGATCCCTGATGTCAACCAACGAGTGCTTTCAAAGCAGCTATTCAAGGCAGGCAGTGAAGGACAGACATAGATAAGAAAAAGATCCATTTTTGGGTATGACTTCATTGACGAAGTTGTAGTTTTTTTAAAAAGGCTTTCTAGATCATTGGAGGGAGATGGGAACTAGATTCAAAGAGGGTTGGCTTTGTTCTCACAGCAGATATTTAAGAGATGAATGACACCAGGTTCGAAAAACAGTCTGTATGGATACCTCTGCTGCTCAGTCCAACACTCAGTGTTCCCCTGCCCCTGCATGGTTGCATGGAAGGTGGGGAAACAGATCCACCTCCCATGCCAACTTCCAGAAGGTAGACAAGAGTCTATTACTTCTGCTTGCTGTGCTTCCTTCCCATTCAGCCAGCACAATTCATCAAAACCAAACTCTTGGCTGAAGACAAAGTTTGAAAAAATTCCGAGTTGAGGGTGATATTTCTCTCTCTCTCCACAATTCTCCAGCATTTGGCTGATGGATCATATACTAGTCTTAACAATATTAATTGCAGACAAAGTGCAGAGGCAGAAGGGAATACAACGTGATTGTTTACACATGTTTATTTGTACATATCACAGATTAACCAACGTTTATTCCAGCAGTATTACACGTACCAAAGAATATGCTGACATCATCTGATGAAGTCGGCTGTAGTCCATGGAAGCACATTTGCTATAACAAATGTGATAGTTTTCACAGTGCCACAGAAGTCTTTGCTGCTTTTGCTGCAACAGACTAGTGACTAACAGGGTTGAAAGTGACTTCAGAAATAGGAAAACTTATTTGTTTGGATTACAAATCCCCAGAAATTGCTCAGGTACAGCAGTAGCCATACTGTCTGGTATATTTCCCCCAAGATCGAATTAATATATGTTTTCTTTGGAAATCTGCAGCTTGGATCACTTGCCTGAGTTACTCAAACCCATTTCGTCCACAAACACATATTTCTGGAGCAAGTACTCTTTGCTGGGGTGTACGTCAGTTGATATATGTTGAGCAGGTGAAGGCTGATGTGTGACTAGTCCTACAGAGTAGGATATGATGGCCTTTAGTGTGCCTACAGTTTTGTGTATCTATTCTTTTCACATCTTTTCAAATGCATTGGCAGATTTGATAGCTAGCACTTAAAAGTAAATATATGATATTTACTTTACATTTGTGTACTTTATATCATATATTTATAGAGTAACTGCATAGTATTTACTTTATGTGAGTGCAATAAAAAGCAGCTATGTCTCATATTCAGCTTGGTTGCTACTTCACCATAGTCACATCGGACTGTCCTGCACTGATAACATCCAAGAACTTGTCAGAGAAGGAGGATTTCATGATAAATCCATGTTTCAAATATTTTAGAATAAGTACAGGATCTCACCATGCATCTCACCATGCAGACATAGTGGTCACGTTACAAAAAATGATGTAGAGCTCCATTCTAGAGATGGGGAAACTTACTGTACTTTTTTGGATTACAAATCCCAGAATACACTAGCTACCACATGGGTTGGGATCACCCAAGTGAGATACCGTTAAGTTACATGTTTCAGAAGACATCCAGTCCTTCTATCTTGAGGGAGGTTTTTTTTTCCTCCAAGACTGCAAGCCTGTCTTCTTTCCCAAAGGGAGTCTTCACAACAATCCTGTGAGGTAGCTTGGACAGAGAGGGTGACTTGCTCAAGGTCATCCAATAAGTTTTATGGCTGAGTGTGAACTTGAAGCTGATCCCCCCCAATCCTAATTCTACGCTTGCACCATCACACACTGGTGCTTAAGCCTTCTGCAACCATATCATTGCTCGTTATGAGAGATTAATGCAAACTAAGAATGTAATCATCATAATCATGTGCTGTCAAGTCAATTCTGGCTTATGGCAACCCTTTTCATTATTTTCTAGGTAGAGAGTACTGAGAGGTGGTTTGCCTTTCTCTTCTTCTGGGAGCACCCTGGGATAGTGCAGCTTGCCCAAGGCTCCACAGACTGGCATTTCTGGGATCCATAATGGGAAACTGAACTGAGTTGCAGTCAGATACCCAACTCACTGAGCTATCCAACCAGCTGCCTGAGAGTTTAGATCACATCTAGTCCTGCCAGGAAAGTTATTGTGGAAACAGGACAGATATACCAGTTCTTCCCCTTTAATGATTTTTTTTCCAGGTCAAAATAACAGCACTAAGCAGCTTTAATAAGTGGCAAAGTTTGTCACTTGCAATGGCTCTGCCACTTATGCTATTCAATGGTGCTTTAGACCTGTTGACAAGAAATATGAGAGGACTCACATGATGTGGCCATGAGCAGACCAGCCTTCTGCAGACAGATAAACCTGTGGCATCATTTCAAGGAGCTGGCCTTGGAACCACAGAGCTGTCTTCCTTATGGGTTCCAATTGTTAAACGAGAGTGCTTTGGCAGTGACGAAGGAAGGTCCACGTCCAACTTTGCACAAACAGAGCACAAAAACTCAAAGAGTTTGCAAAACCATAAACACACTTTCCTCCCCTTTTCCCTGCTTTGCTGAAGCATGTTTATGGAACTAAATACATGTAGCTGAGAGCTAGTAGAAAGGAAATGAATTATCATCAAAAGCTGTCTGTCATTTGCTTGATTTTTTAAAAAGTGGTCTAATAAAGGTATCACCTAGCTCTGCATATTGTATTGTTTTGGAGAACACACGTCCCTTTCCTGATTTTTACAAAGAAAACCTAAGCTATCAGTTAGTAAGAACAATATATCAGTGCATGATCCATGTATTTATTGAGTCTATTGACTTCCATGGAGAGTTTTTAAAAGCACATGAAACATAAAAGAACAGTAGTACTTAACTTTGCATGGATATACGGGGCTTCAAACACATTTGCACATTGGTATGAAAACCACAGGCGCACAGGACATACATTCCAAGCTGAGTGGTGTCCACAGCAAACACCCCTGCCACACACCCCAAACCTTTCTACTCCCAAACTTTAGAAGATAGAAAACAAGTTGCCGGAACCTCGCAGAAACTTTTAAACCTCTCAAACAAAAGTTAAGGGAGAGGAGGTGGAATATCTTCCCTACGGCAATAATCTTCATAAATTCCACAGGAGTGAGGGTTTTGATCATCATTGCCGTTGCAGTTGTTTCGTATGTTAACAGTAGGACTAAAATCTAAAGCTACCTGTCCCCAGAGGCGTAAATTAAGGGCAGCAGGGCAGCCGATGCCTGGAAATTACTAAGTCAGGGCAGCGGTGAAAGGGCGCACCAAGAAGTGGGTGACATTGACAAGGGCAGAGATGAAACTTACACGAGCAGAGAGCGCAGGCTGCGCCCGGCAGTGGCAGCGCGGAAGGTCTCGGGCGGGCGAACCAACTGCGGATACTTGGAGGCTTTCGCTCTTCTTCCTCGACGGGGTGCGGACTAGGAGAAGAAGAAGCCTCTTGCCCTCCGGGACAGGGCGAGCCTCTGGACGCTCTGCGCGCGATCCTGTTGCTCCTGCAGCGGTTGGAAAGCAGCTGCAGGCGATCCCCCCCTGCTGGCTCAACCCCTCTCCCCAGGGCGAGTTGCAAAAGAAGACCGTCAGAAAGCTTGGCTCCGTCTGGCTGCACGCCTGGATTTATAGCCAGGGACGCTGCTGGCTGCACGGCTTGTTCCTCATCCCGCGCGCTCCACCCGCCCCGCTCCCTCCCGGGAGACCCCCTCCGGGCCATCGCCTTTCTCCCCCTCTCCCCCCGCCCCACGCGTGATCCAGCCCTCATGCTCAGCCCCTTCACTCTTCCCGGCCCGATCCGGCCAGCCCCGCCTCCTCCAAGCCGTAATGAAATTGCTGCCGCTGACGGATGCGCGCGTGTCTCGGCCGCTCTCGCAGGGGGGCTCTCCCTCTCCGGCTACGTGCGCCCGGGGGCGGCAGGTCTCATCTAGCCTTACACCCATTTGGCCTTTGGATCGTCCGCGTTGGGAACCGAAAAGTTCTCTTTCTGCTCCTCTAGAAATTTAACGAGAGAGAGAGAGAGGAAAAAGGGGTGCGTGGGTGGGCGAGGTAAGAGTAGATAGCGCGATCCTTTATTTTGAAGGCGCCTGCGGGGTGTGTGTGTGGGGGGGCGTCACTTGCAAAGTGTGCCATTTTCTTACTCCACACGCAAGCATGGATCACCAGCCTCTCTCGCCTGTTCGCGTCTAACAAGGAAGGCGACACACTGAAGTTCGCGCCGCTCCCCTGGGAGCGAAAAGATCCGCACAGATTTCCAAAATGAACGCGGAAAGGAGAGGGGCGCGGGGCTCCGCGCTCTCGACCGCAAACCTTCCGCCACCTTCCCCCCCCCCCCGCGCCAACCAGCAGAACTGGGCGCTCCACGTGGCCCGTGGAGACGCGCCCCATTTTTTACCCGCCCTTTCCTCTTTTATGGCCTTAAGTTTCCTGCGCAGCACGTGTGTATAGGGGACGGGGTTACGTGTCAAGAGTGCCGCTATCTGCAGAGGTGGGAAAACTTTGGTTTGATTTATGGAAGATTGATGGTAGTCATCATAACCTTTCCACAAAGTGTTTGGTAACTACATTCCTCCTCCTCTTCCTTATGGTCTCCTCATTCTCCTCAAATCAGATGGAAGCAGGAAGCGGGCAATTGAACAATTACATCGTAATTGGAAGTTTCTCCTGATGTATGTGTTTAATATTATCAAGTTCTGAAGGGAGAAAAAAAAGCCTACATGAAATCATCGACACCTTCATTGTTTTAAACCCAGGTCTTCCCAGGCCTAGAATAGCAGCTAGTTAATCACTGTAAGTCTTAACAGTTGGTGGTGGCTGGTTCCTTAAGCAAAATGGGGGTTTGCCCACCCATGGTTCAGCACATACATGTATGCATGCGTGCATGCATGCCTCTTTTCCAGATTTAGAGAAGCTGGGCCCTGTCTGTGTTCGTCTTCTGCCCGTATTTATGTGTGAATGTCTGCTTGCTTGCCTATGTGTATGACCACCCTGCTTGTCATCCCATGTATACTCACTTCATGTCCTCTTCCCTAACAATCAGAATGGGCACCAGCCAGTGCTTCTAACTGCGAGCTAATTACTCTAATACAGGGCTAGGCAAAAAATAGAAGTGGCTCCACTGCAGGTCTCAGGTTCATCTTGCAGTCATAACCACAGTGTATATTTACAGCACTTTACCAACCAAGAGCACCACCTCAAAGACCCCAGTTTCTGCTACGCCATAGCAGAGTGCCAAATATAGAGCATGCTAGAGTTTTTGGAAGCAAAGCCTACACCTACTTATCACAGCAGAAAAGGGATAAGTTAGAATCTAGAACAGAACAGGCTGTTTTGATTAGCTCCACTCCTGTAAGCAAAGGATATAAAGTAAAGACCTTTATATGAACAGGTGAAATCAGTGTGAGAGACGTGGTCTGCTTGGAGGAACAAAGGAAAGTGGACAAAAGAGGGACTGTGTTAGTGGAAGGACAGTACCTGGAGTTCTTCCAAGATATAACAGAGGCAAGGCCTTCACAAGTTGCCTCAGAAACAGAGTAGGAAGAAGATGACACAGAGGGATAGAGCAATACACCAAGATAAGAGATCGGAGATGGACATGTTGTGACTGTTGGGCTGGAAGAATCCCTGATGGTCCACCAAGTTCTACAGCCAGCTCTCAGATACTCATCGTGACCCACTAAAAGTGTACCAGCTTCGCACCTGTCTTATCTTGCAAGATTGATGCTACTTACTGGCCTAGTCACTTGGACAAGATGGATCAGATTCCAGCTGCTGAAGCTGCTAGATGGAAATAAGCAGAGGTAAGGAGATAAAGAATAGACATTCTTAGCGCTGCACAATGAGATGTGGACCCACACTAAGGTACCACCAGGCAAGACAGCCATTGGATGCAAGTGAAAGAGGGAACAAAAGAGAAAGTGGAGTGCTAGAAGGTGTGGAGAAAGGATTCATCCTTGTTTTCATGTCCAAAGACCGTAAGAATGTTCCTAAGTGAGGCTTTCTCTGTCCAGATGCAGCATCTGGACATCAAAACTGCATCTGTACATGGAAATATTTGAAAGGAGCTGTGCAACCACCAGGCTTCATCAACCAGAAGCAACTAGACCTAGTATGCAAACTAAAGAGAAGCCGAAATGGATTTAAATAAGCTGCATACCTTGTGGGCAAAGAAGTGGGAATAAAAGAATTAGGCAATGCAACCTACTATTTAGGCAATAAGACTGAAGGAAGTGGATGGATCTTATCTTCTCAACCACAGACAACAGATCATAGGACATGGGCAGATGCTAGGTCTCCAAGACATCCAACTATGACAACCCTTAAACTTTTTGAAAAGCAAAGAGGAGAGTGGACATCTGCTAAACTATAGCAAGTACTGTACAGAACAGCTATAGGAAAAGTCCTGTACCTACCACTTCCAGACATGATGTTACAACTACTGTATGAATACTGAGCAGAAAAGTTAGTTCACTAACACAGGATGACTGAAGAATGACCAGCTAGGTACAGCGGTGCCTTGACTTACAAACTTAATCCATTCCGGTAGATGGGCGTAAGTTGAAATGGTCGTAAGTCGAAGCACCATTTCCCATTGAAATACAATTAATCAATTCTGGCTGAAGAAAAAAAATCCCCTCCCCCAAAAAATCACTGCAAGACCCATCGGAAACGTGATTAGTCCCTTCTGGCTGAAGGGGTGTGTGTGTGTGGAAAAGCAAGCAGAGCATGCAAGACAGATGGAAATGGGGAAAAAGCAATGCAAAAAGCCAATGAAGCATGCAAGACATTAGAAATGGGGAAAGAGCAATGCAAAAAGCAAACAAAGCATGCAAGACAGATCAGAAATGGGGAAAGAGCAGTGCAAAAAGCAAGCAAAGCATGCAAGACACGTCAGAAATGGGGAAAAAGCAAAGCACCAACAAACAAACCCCCAAGACTCATCAGAAATGGGGGAAAACACTCCAAAAAGCAACCAAACCCCCCAAGACCCATCGGAAATGGGGGGGAACCAAAAACAACCAACCCCCCAAGACCCATCAGAAATGGGGGGGAACCACCCAAGACTCATCATGGCACAGAAACATAACCACCCCAGCCCAAAACCACGCTGCAAAGACACACGCAACAGTTTTTAAAAAGCAGAAAGCCTTACCTTACCAGGCAGCCTGCTTGGATTGCACACTCTCTAACTGCTGGGCAAAAGAGCTACAAAAAAGCAGCCTCGTCGCCACCTACAGTTAGAAATTTGAATTTCCCACCTTTTCCCCCTGCCTTTTTCTGTTCGTAAGTGGAAGCTCCAGTCACAAGTAGAAGCAAAATTTTGTGGCTGGAGCTGGTTGTAACTTGAAATGGTCATAAGTAGGGACATTCGTAAGTTGAGGCACCACTGTATTTGAAAGGATCTACTGATTTAAACTAAGACTACCTGTAAGCAGCAAGCTAAAGCTTGTACCCACATGCAAATGCTACATACACCTAAATCTGGATGCAGTCCATAAACATTATAATCATAATTGTCATTTCTGACACCTAAATCTGGATGCAGTCCATAAACAGTATTATAATCATAATTGTCATTTCTTTATCTTTGAGTGTTCAGAATGCTTATAGTATCTTATCTGAAAAGCTTTTCAAACAAGTCTGTAATAATTCCCATATTGCAACGATGGGGCTGAGAGACCATGAATTCATGGCCAAGGTATTTGGCCAAGAAATGTCCTGTCTTGTATCTCATACTAGTAGAGATGAAGGCTGTGCATGTTGTTTTCTTCCATGAAATATTTGCATACACTGAGGGATTATAGCTACTAAACAACACTGAAATAGTTTAGATTAGCAACACCTAGATCATTTATAAAATTTAAAAATGATGATGATGATGACCATTGTGATGAATCTATGCTATTAGATTCTTTCAAGCATGATTCCTTTGTTCTCTGTTAATGCTGAAACTGGAGTACATGTGTTCATGTATATTCAGCGGGGAGCAATCTGGCAGCATGTGCTTGCACATCTGTTTGCTAAGTCAGAAATCCAAAGGCGCTTTAGAATGCCTTCCAAGGAGAATCATACATCTCTGCCCTGCTCCTCCTTTAGCACTTGAAGAAACAAACTTAGGTACTATCACCTCACCTCACCGTTATTTGTGTATTTATTTGTTTATAAATGGTGGGCAACAGGTGGCCCTCAATATGTTCTTGGACTACAGCTCCCATCGTCCCATATCACTGGTTATGCTGGGTAGAGCTGATGGGCAACTGCAGTCCAATAGCATCTGGAAGCCAATGACCTAACACTGATCTAACTTAAAAAAAACAACAACACCAAAACTACCCACTCATCATTTCAAAAGGCTCCCACAGTACCTTAAATGGGTCGCTATAACAAAGTAGGTTGTACCCAAATCTAAATAATCTAAAAGACATTACACAAGAGGGGAAAAAGAGGAAGAGGGAAGACTCCTATGGGAAAGAGTTTCAAGGTGTTTCTTTAATTAGGGTTCATTTGATTGGGACGAGGGACATCTCCCCAACAGATGCATGATTTTACAAAGATACAGGCTGAATATTGGTGGCAGCACAATTTAAAGACTCTGATGGACAAAAGCCCACAGTCCTGCAAATCAGGTCTTTTTAGAGATGCCTACAGGCACCAAACTTCCCAAATTACGCTTTGTAGTTCTTTTTTGCA